AGCCTCCCAGCAAGACATGCTCGAAGACCCTCACCTGGGAGATCTCAGGAAGATATTCTACTGAATATTTTGATATTTTACTATTCTACTCAGATGCCCACTGACAATGATGACAGGGTAACGTGTCATCATTGTAGTCTTTGCAGTTGCAATCACCCAGGACCAGTTTGCACTGGTTCACTATACAAGGGGCAAATTCCACTGACAACATAGCTCATGGGATCATTCGGACACATAAAGGCTCTAAAGCACAATAAAGTAGCAAATCATAGAAGCGAGTGATTACATTTGATTAAGCAGACAAAGCTGTTTAATATCCGTGATTGTCACCTCTCAAATTTGCTGATATTCCTATGATGTATTCCAGAAAAGCAGGAATTTTAGATTTACAAGCAGAGCTGGGAGGAAAAACATCACTTGCATGTTTTATTACCTCATTTCCAAGATATACTGTTAGCAAAAAGGTGTTTGTGTTTATGTGCTGTTTGTGTGCGAGTCCACACATGAATCAGCTTCTGCTCCTGGGAAGGGCACAGAAGCTGTAGCAAAGACTGGAAGGTGAGAATAGGTGATGCATGTCGGTGTGGGTGTTTTACGTGTAAGCGCTTTCTCTGCATAAACATCACGGTTTTCAAGGTGAAGTCACCATTTACTGTACCTCCTCCTCCTAAACAAATATGCTCTTTAAACAGTCCCACTGCACACACACACACACACACACACATGAGGACGACCAAAAACTTTCAGTGTTCTCGATTTTGGCACTGAAAAAGTTGAACTGCACCTACGTTTATTTAAATATGTAACAAAATGTGGGCTGAGAGAAGGCGACACATGCAACATAAACTACATATTATAACCTAATCAAGCTAACGTAACCGATGCATTAGCAAACAGAGCACAACTCCCATTTATGTAGAGTTTTCTTTCTGATCCTGGCAAATGCAAGTCCTCTCCTCTAGCTCTGTGGACACCCACCCAGCTCCTCATGGATTTGCGGTTACTTGCTCTGGACTGCTTATTATGTCAGGCAGCTTGTCGATAACTTTGAGTGTTAGCTGTTTGACGACCCTGGAAATGTAGTGTTAGATTATCAGCATTTGAAAGCTTTGCTGCAGGAAAATTATGGTCTGTAAGATGCTAAAACTCTCAGTAGGTTTGAGGGCTTCACGGAAAACCTAATAATAATATTATGGATAAATTCTTAATCGTGAGGATTGCAGCAGAGAAATCTTCTGTTCTCCCTCGCTGATGTAGTAAAAGCACGTTCTGTGTGCATGTGAGAAAGCGCAGGATGACATAATTTGACACAGATTTTGAAAGAACCTACATTTCTGACAAAGAGGAATGTGATGAGCTCCTATGAGACACTCACCTCGCTGGGAAAGACTCTCACAGTCATTAAGTCAGCTCAGAACTGGGGTCTAGGACCTCTGTGTGAATTCAAATAGTCCTTCTCTATTTCACTCTGGTGTCGTGCATAACGGGCCGACAGTAAAACGTTTTAGAAATGGATTTATCAGATCCTGCAACCTCAGATCCTATGGAACGCCATATGGTTGTTTCAGAGA